CTCCTTTGTCTATGCTAGCTAGCTGGTCACATGGCAGTTATATAACCTAGGAAGGCATTACTCACATATCTGGTGGGTGGCAAGCAGGCTGTTGCATGGGATCCTGGGATCATGGGACAATTATTAGCTGGTGCACCTCAGTTCTCTTCCACATGTCTTCTAATCCTCCAACAGGATAGCTTGAGCTTATTCACAAGCTGGTCTCAGAGTTCCAAACCCACAAAGAGAAAGTAAACTCCAAATTTGTGAACTTTTTTAAACCTCTGCTTACGTTGTTTTTGCTAGCATCATATTTGCTAATATTTAGCCAAAGAAAATTAATAGGTCAACCTCAGGTTAGTGTGGAAAGATTCTACCACAGAGCATAGAAAGATGCTATAGACTTGCTTATAGCATGTCTAACTATAAGTATATTTTTAAAGGGAGGGAGAATGCCCTTCTCTCTTTCTACTTCTTGGTGGACAGGAATTGGTCTTAGAGTATGGGTAGATTTGTGTTCTCTCACATTAAAAAAGGAGAATCTGCAGCTAAATTATACAGAAGTAAACTGTATATTTTCAGTTGACTTTTAAGAAACTGACTGGAGTTCAAATGTTTCATAAAGTTTGCTGATGACATGAGCTTATATACAGAAAAACCTGTAGACTCTTCCAAAAAAACTGTTATAACTGATTAACAATTTCAGTAATGTTGCAGGATAAGAAATTAACACCCCAATTCAATAGCATTTTTATACTCCAATAACTAGCAGAAAATGAAATCAAGAAAGCAAGCCCATTTACAATAGTTGCCAAAAAAATAAAATACCTAGGTATCAATTTTACCAAGGAGATGAAAAATCTCTACAATGAGTACTACAAAACACTGCTGAAAGAAATTAAACAGGGCACAAAAAAGTGGAAAGACATACCATGTGCTTGGATGGGAAGAATTAACATCATGAAAATGTCCATTCTATCCAAAGCAATTTACAAATTCAATGCAATCTCCATCAAAATACCTATGACATTCTTCACAGAAATAGAAAAAGCAAACCAAATGTTCATATGGAACAACAAAAGACTCCAAATAGCAGAAGAAATCCTTAGCAGAAAAATAAACCAGGGGCATAACACTACCTGACTTCAAATTATGATACAAAGCTATTGTAACCAAAACATCATGGTACTGGCATAAAAACAGACACTTGATCAGTGGAACAGAATCGAACACCTGGGAATCAACTCACATACATACAGCCAACTGATCTTTGATGAAGGCAGCAAGAACATACATTGGGGAAAAGACTGCCTCTTCAGCAAATGGTGCTGGGGAAATTGGACATCCATACACAGAAAAATGAAACAGGACATGTTCCTGTCACCATATACCAAATCAACTCAAAATGGATTAAAGACTTAAATATCAGACCTGAAACCATAACATTACTAAAGGAAAATATAGGAGAAACATTCCAGGTAATAAGACTGGGCAAAGACTTTATGAATAAGACCCCAAAAGCACAAGCAATAAAAAAAAAAAATAAATTAATGAGATTATATAAAACTAAAAAGCTTCTGCACAGCAAGGGAAACAATCAACAAGCAGAAAGACAACCTACAGTATGGCAGAAAATATTTGCAAACTATACATCTGATAAGGGATTAATATCCAGAGCATACAACCAAATAATCCAATTTAAAAATGGGGAAAGGAGACAAATAGACACTTTTCAAAGGAAGACATACAAATGGCCAACAGATACATGGAAAAATGCTCAACATCACTAGTCAACAGAGAAATGCAAAACAAAACCATATTGAGATATCGTCTCACTCCAGTTAGACTGGCTATTATTAAAAAGACCAAGAATAACAAATGCTGGTGAGGATGTGGAGAAAGGTGAACTCTTCTACACTGTAGATAGGACTGTAAATTAGCACATTCATTATGGAAAACAGTATGGGGGTTTCTCAAACAACTACAGATAGAACTACCATATGATCCAGCAATCCCACTACTGGGTATATGTCCAGAGGAATGGAAGTCATTATGTTGAAGGGATACATGCACTCCCATGGTCATTGCAGCTCTATTTACAGTAGCCAAAATATGGAACCAACCTAGGTGTCCATCGACAGATGACTGGATAAAGAAAATGTTGTATATACACAATGGAATACTACTCAGCCATAAAAAAGAATGAAATTCTGCCATTTGCAGCAACATGTATGAGTCTGGAGAAAATTATGTTACGTGAAATAAGCCAGTCTAGGAAAGAGAAATACCACATGTTCTCACTTATATCTGGGTGCTAAGAAAGAAAGAAGGAAAGAAGGGAGCAGAGGAAAGGAGGGGAGGGGAGAGGAGGAGAGGAGAGACCACCACAATTCATTGAACTTTCAGAAGGAGAGAACAAACCTAAGTTTATTGGAGATGGGCAGAGGGAGGGAGGTTTTGGGGCAGGACAGTTTGGGTAAAGTGCATAAAGAAATATTTTGATTTGTAATAATGAATATGCTAATGATAATAAAAAACACTTGGCGATATTTAATGGGCAACATATTACATAAGGTCTCATGCTCTTAAAAATTAAAAAAGTGATAAAGCCTTATATCATTTTACTTATAAACTACATTTTAAGATTTACTAATATACAGAAATTATAATCTGCATGATCTATATGTGTTATACAAACTTTTAGATTAATGAAATGGTAGTAAAGTTGTCATCTTACTAATTTGCAGCAGTTTTTAATATGGAGAGAATCGTTTTTGACAAAAAACACTTTGATCAGACTTAGGTTTTGGCAGGAAACAAGGCAATAATGAACACTTTTGAGATGTTCTGTGTGAAAAATTGAATGACAGTCAGGTGTAAAGAGAACAGTAGACATGTTTTAGGGGAAAGCAAGGAGGAAGTAGAGAGAAGCCACAGAAATGGTGGGTAATTGGAGTGCAGAAACCTATGAAAATCTCCAGTAATAGGCAAACTAAAGCAATATGATGAATTGCAAAGGAAACCTCTCACTCTTCTTTCACCTTAGATTTTTAGTAAAGTTTAGTAAGAGTTCTTCTTCTTGAAATTGAGGCAGTAGCTGAGTTTCACCTCTGGGTGATACAGTGCAGTGATCTTGGGTTATATATGGAGATTCTGAAACGGAAGAAGCAGAAATTTAGGGTCAGGGTGATATGAGAAGTCTTACAAACTTAAGGAGCAATTTCATCCTTCAATAGGAATAGAGTTAGGGTTACAGCCAGTTTTATCTAGATTTCAAAAGTCAAGGAAGCTCCAGTTCATACATGTCGTGCATTAAAATAAGAATATAATGAGATACATAAAAGGTAAAATTTTGACACAGAATACACTTTATTTCTCTTTACCTTTTTCATTCTTTCTTGCTCTTAATCTTTAAAAGGCTACTCTTTACATGTGAGGAATGTATAAGATTATTCTTTGACAGAGATATAATATATGCCCAATCCCTGAAGATACTTGGTAGCTGTGACTAAGACTCATACACGTGAAGCACCAGCAAAAAGTAAGGCCTAAATTATAGGGTAATGTACTTAAATTGTTGTAAGCATGTAATCAGAGGCCTATTGATTTTCATGGCTGTATGTAACACATACCCACCAATACATGCCATTTATTTTTGCAGCCAGAATCAAATCCCTATCTTGAGTAATTACCTGGTTTGCATGGGGCTGGGTGGGAGTGGGGGTGAGAAACAGCCAGGCACCCGGAGGCAGTTCATAGTCTTTGCTCATCTTTCTAAACCTATAGAGTCTTTGAGGTTGAGATTCGTTGTTACCTACAGCTGCATCTGGTGAGTATATATCTCTTTATGATTTCAGTGAGTCTCTATTTCTCAGATGAGGAAAAATGAGGCAGTCGCAGATTTTAAAAAATTCTTTAATTTGAAAGCCCTTCCTTACAGCTTCATAACTGAACCCCAACCTCATATGATATTTTTAATATCCTTGAAATTAAATGTAAATCAAACCATGTCTTTCCACATGTAAGTTACTTTCCTCTATGGTAACCCTGCCTCCAAATGTAAGAGCTGGATTCCTTCCAAGTGAAAGAAAATTAGGGGGAGAAATTCCAGTGACTATGAAAAAGAGTTGATGTCTGTATCCACATCTCAGTCTTAGAGTCCTGAGTTACTATTGAATTTCTCATTTTTATTTCACATTTAATATACATGTGTTCCCTTATGAAGAGTATTAGCTCTTAACTTTCTTTAACCAACATAGTATTATACATGCATATAGTAGATGAACATTATATATTTTTATATATTTTCATTTTTCTCAAAACAGCATCTTAAAGAGGAAAAATAGTGTTTTAGCTGTCATTTGCTTGAAACTGCTCTAAAACAAGCAACTTTTTTGCCTTTTTACCACAACCTTAATCAACTATATATACTTACTTTGGTCAAATGATGCTACAAATGAATCATAAATATACTGAAATATTCCTAAAAGGAGAATTGTGGGGAAAGAAAAATTCATCACGGTCAGTATTAGTAGCCATAAATGTATGCTATTAATGGAGAACTTTAAACATTGTTAAAACCTTCACGGGATGATGTTATCATAGAAAGATTCTTCCTTAATTTAAACACCTGGCACGTATAAAACAAGTTTGGATCAGCAATACAGTAAATGAGAGGAATGAAACAAAGTCATAAAGACTAAATTAACTACTGGCTCTTTTCTATTTTCAGTCTCTACATGTCCATATCTGATTTCTTTATATAGTAGTTAAAGCTTAATTCCCTGTTTCCCTTTTAGTCCTATAGTACTGACTTCTCTGGGGTTTATTTTCATTCAGTTCTAAATATTCACCCTGTTCAGCCTCCCATGTTTTGTGTCAGGAGGAAAAATACCTTATTACCTTCTTGTCTGCTTAACATTTAAAGGTTTTTCCCCCCTCCCTCCCTGTCTTGTACCTAATGAGCAAATTATCTAAAAATAGATATGTTCATCATCTACAACATGTTGTATCTTCTCCAGATTGGAGGCCAGTGTGATTGTAAGAGACATGTGTCTGGCAGACAGTGCAATCAGTGCCAGGATGGATTCTACAGTCTACAAGAGGTGGATCCTGATGGCTGCAGTCCCTGTAACTGCAATGCCTCTGGGACAGTGGATGGAGATATTACCTGTCACCAAAATTCAGGCCAGTGCAAGTGCAAAGCAAATGTTATTGGTATGTGTCATGCAGAAGTTCACAGTCACGTCTCTATTGCCATCTGTAATAAAATTCTCTATTTGATTTCTTAACTGAAGAGTAAAGCAAATTTCCTTGCTCAAGGCAGGCTGGAAAAAAAAACAATTTGGATGAAATTAACTGTCTAAAAATGATTAAATTAATAATTCTATCAAACTACAGCTTGAAGCTTAGTTTAATCAACCCTTTGGAAGTTTCTTTATTCCGTAGATACGTTGGTTCACATGGTCCCATACTAATAAGTCATAGAAAAATATAATTTGCTTACTGCATAGATGTTTCTTTTAGAAAATTAGCACTTTTTCAAAATGTTTTACACTTAATGAGTTCTAAGCAAATCATTTCCATGCTAGTTTTCTTAATAGACTAAAATAAATGGATTTTTTCAAAATGTTCTGTGCTACAGGGTCCTTTGTGATAAATCTTTCCATTTTTTCTATTATATTTCTTTGAACTGTTCCTATGAAATGCAAAATAAGTCAACATAATTCCACAGATCATGTATATTGCGAGGGTTAGTTATAAAGGGCCAAATAATTTTAATTTTGTAATTCAGTGCCAAGCTGATTATAATAAACAGCTACCTTCAGTGTTATCATTTTTTTTAATATAAGGACGTGCTTTTTTGTTTGTTACTCCCACAGGTATTTTTCAGAGGGTTAGTTATAAAGGGCCAAATAATTTTAATTTTGTAATTCAGTGCCAAGCTGATTATAATAAACAGCTACCTTCAGTGTTATTTATCATTTTTTTTAATATAAGGACGTGCTTTTTTGTTTGTTACTCCCACAGGTATTTTTCAGAAATTAGATTTGATTATAGCAATTTATTACATCCAACATTTTTGAGGGGAACCACCGCCACATAAGGACAAAATTTATCAAGTGCCCAAAATGCACTATGTACATAATGCACTTTGAAATTTTGATATATGAGAATATTATGAGAGGAAAGTTTCCTGATGAAGTGAGTCCTGTATTGTATCTGAATGTGTCTTGGTTCATATAGGAAGTTTTAAAAGGACCTTTGCCTTTCTATTGTCATTCAAGGCACCAAGTCGTCCATGGTTTTTCTAATACTGACCTGAACCTTACAGTAATAAAAACATGCCTGACAGTGATAAAACACACAGACACACACACACACACTCACAGAGACACAAAATGCATACACATATATACATGTACACAAATATACTTACCGTTCTGAATAACATTTTCATTTCTGTGATATAACTCCAAATCTAATAATTTAACTTTTATCTATGTAGATATATATACATCATGTTACCCAATTCAACTAGACAAGCATTTCAATTTAATTTAATAAAAATAATATGAACGTGCTTGATAGTATTATACAAGATTTCTCTGGTTTAAAGGAAGAGTACATTGCAATCTATAACATAACTTGCATTTATGCATTGCAAGCATACAAACACTAACTTTTTAGAAAGAAAAAATAACTGGTAAAGAGAAGCACATCTTTGTATGTGTTATCTGTGATGCTGAATGAATTCTAAGACCTTTGAATTCAATCTATATGGAATCCTTTGTTCTTTAATGTGAGATGTATTTTAAATTCAAGATGTGAAAATAAAAGTTAAAGCAAGGCCTTTAAAGACAAAGAAATGGCTACTTTTCTATATCAATGGAATCTTTCCCATGATGGTTAGATTCCAGAGCTTGAGGAAAGAAAAAAACTCTAAATTTACTTAGAATTTATTATGACCTCCCTGCTATTTACCAATTTTATTGGTTGTTCCAGATAGTTTTCTGCAGGAAAATATAAATATATATGTTGTGAAGACTAAATCATCATTTTAATATTATTCTAAATTATTATTTATAGAGAATTACTATAAATGAAATACATTTAATAAAATATAATCTTTATGTGTATAGATAGATATAGATATTTGTTTACTTTCTTAATGGGATTAGTAAGTAACCTCATTCAATTTTGCCTTGTTAATATGAAAGAAAAAGAAAAGAAAATACAAATGTATGTTGTATATGCTTCAGAAAGCCAGCGGTTAGAGTTAACAAAACTGTTAAATCTTACTAATGATTCTATCACCAGTAAAATACATTAGCACCAATAATTTTATTAAAGTAGGTCATTCATCTAGAATAAAAAGGGAGAGGAATGTGAATTAAATGCCGAGTGTGCTAACTCGCCTGTACTTGTTAGCACCGAATGTGATGCCCTGTAGGCCTTCCTGAGTATCGTTAGGAATAGATTACCTGTCAGGAATATGTATGGCATATTCAAATAAGCACTGCACATATTTTTAAAACTGATATGATATGAATCCATGTAGACCAATTTTAATAGTTCAAAATGAGTCATAATTCTTGTTAACAATACAGTTATTTTTAAAATTTGCGGCAATAGTGGTCCTTTTTTATTTTCCTTATTGAAATTAAATGATATGCCTTAGGTGAGTCATTCATCACTGTTAAAGAACTTGCCTTCCTTTGGAGTTCTTGAATTTTTATCCATATATACACATGTATATTATATATTTCCTTCCAGTTTAGGAAAAGCTTTTCTACATATGAGTTCCTTGGTGTGTTTTTGACCCTTATTTCAGGACTATTTTTTTTTTATTGCTAATACCAATAGCTTGAAATAAACGTTTTAGATGATTCAGCCCCACATAGTCAACTATTTAAATTCATGAATATATGAAGACTATCTAAAGGAAGTATTTTACATATAAATATTTACTATTCTAGTTATTTTTTTTTATTCCTTTGCCTTGTAATACCCTTTTTGAGACTAACCTAAGTTGCCAGAGATTTAAATTTAGGTGATAAAACATTTTTCTCTGTTTATAAAATGTAGATGTGTAGTCCTTTAAGTAGAAGTAATAGAAAGAGCAGAATTTATCAGTGTTTAAAGAGGTATGTTCTGAATCACACAATATGACAAGAAATGTGATTGCTTTATGAGCCAAGGAGAGCGTAATTTATATTAATTGAGAATGATAAACTACAGGAGCATACAAAAGGATTAAAACAAAAATTATTCTGGATAAGTTTTATTTATATTAATTATTTAAATGTGTGATATGCAGAAATATATGCTCTTGTCACAAAAATAGTTATCAGCTTAATGATTTTTTTTCTTTTTTTCCAGCTTTACTAGGGTATAATTAAATAAAAATTGTATATATTTACAGAGTGCAACATGATGTTTTGATATATGTATACATCGTGAAATGATTAATTCAAGCTAATTAACATATCTATCATCTTACACACTTACCATGTTTTTGTGAAGAGAACATTTAAGATCTAATCTTTCAGCAATTTTCAAGTATACAGTACATTATTATCAACCATCAGTCACTGTGCTGTACAATAGATCTCCAGAACTTATTCATCCTAACTGAAACTTTGTACCAGCTTAACATTTTATTAAACATTTTTTTAAAAATTCTGATTTCTAGGAAAATAACTAATGTGATAATATGGAATTTTACTACACTTTTAAGTGAACATATTTGTCAAAATAGTTTTAATATTTGTTAAAGAGGAAAAGAGCTCCAGTATTTATAACAGAACCAACACTTGCATTAAGCATTTTTC